AAGATGCCATCCCAGCCCTGGTGCCTACCCCTTCCCTGTCAGGCCTCTGAGGACATCTTGTTCAGCTCTCACCCTCTGGTCACCCCCTCCTGGCGAGGCCTCTCCCCATCTTGGACTCCTGTGCTTTTGGACTGCAGGTGTGCATTGTCCCCTGCCCTCCGTCTCACCTCTGCCTTCTCTAAGGCCCATGACACCATGGCCAGCTCCCCCTTAACAGCATGGAGCTGGGAACTGAGAAAGTCCGGCTCGCTCTTGCCCTCTTTAAGACTCACGTAGTCTGCTCTTAAAATTGGCCTGCCTCACAGGTAAGCTGGATAGAATAAGGTGAGGCCTGATGAGTGGGGGGCTTCCGACATGTTAGCCCCTCTCACGGGGATGCACCCTGCCAGCCTCCCTGGGATTGACCCTGTAATGGGTTCAAATAAAACCGCTCTCCTGCCCCAGGGTATTGTTTATGAGACAGAAAATACAATTAACTGACTAAATACAATGAACTGTTTGCTGCCTCCGCCCCTTCCCTAAAGACAAACCATGAGAACCCAAACCAGGAGCCCCAGGGAGGAGCAAGAACATGAATTCTCCCAACCTCAGAGTTCCAGAATGATTCTTAGGGGCTCATGAATCGTTCTGTGCACCATATAGAAAGATGAAATGGGTTGACGTATGTGGGCTGATTTTCATATGCGGGTACTATTGTGGTTCATAACATACAATTTACTTCCTAATGTGCTTAATAAGTTTGTTTGACCCAACAATGACTCTGGAAGAGAATCCCCTCCGAGGGTCAGCTGTGCGGGAGCGCTGCCTCAGCTCACTTGTCCTGAAGATGAACATCCTCAGGCCTGGAGCCCGGACGTTGCGACTAAACAGTTATCACCTGTCAACGCTCAGGCCTGTTTCTCCAGAAAAATCAAAGACACAACACTCAGCACACAACACATGGGTGAGCCATAGCATGAGGGCGACTACAGGCAAAGGGTAAAGAAGATGGAACTCCCTGGACTTTGCCATCCAACAAAGAGAAGACTGGCTGCCACAGAACATGCCAGAAAGCCCCAGACTTAGCACAGGGAGGCCACAGAGAGGAGACTCTAGGATACTGCCAGCATCTGGAAGTGCAGGGGGACCCCCAAAGCCAGGAAGTATGAAATTCCTAAACTCCTGCCCCTACCAACAGCTTGTCCAAGAAGCCCACCAGGATGGTTCAGCTGACTGTCTCCCCCTCCATCTCCCCCTCCACCCCCCTGACACCCCCAGCCAAAGCTGCCTGAGGCCACCCCACCAGCCTCAGACATGAGCACTCCAGAAGAGGGGCAGGTCGTCACCCTCTATGAAGGTGCCACAGCAGGGCTCTGAGGTGATTCTGCCTTTGTGTTATGCTGGGAATGTAAACTTCAGGAATTCTGCCATCACCAGAGCTCTGTTTCTACCTCTCCTGCCACTCCCCTCGCCTCCCTCCCACCCATGTTGGAGAAACAACACAGGAAGATGCTTCTCTTCATTAGTCTACACAGGAGCCGAGCCTTCAGAACCATGTACCTTCCACCAGTAAATGGGAACCCAGGGGAACTGGGACTTCATGGGGGCGTTTCACCAGGTGCTAAGAAATCACAAGAAAAAAGATCCCTTTTTAAAAAATTGATAAAGGGAATGTGTAATTGGGTATGTCTGTTTTCATAACTTCCTGAAGAGAAAAGCCTGGCTTCCTTTTCTTCCTCTGAGTGGGAGAACTCAGGTTGGACCGGCTGGGAGTCCTATGAGTGTGCTTGAGCTGCCAGCCCATGAGAGGGAGCTGTTTTTATGGAAGACATGATTCTTATGAAAAGCCCATGTGGTTTCTACCACAGAAGCACGTTGTCCCCATGCCCACCCCGCGCTCCTGCTAATATGGTGGTTATATGTATGGAAGCAAACTTCTTCAGCCATTAACACTCGCCCCAGCTGGGCACAGTGTAGTAGCCAGCTTGGTGCAAAGTAAAATTTGTAGAGAAAACTATTCACCATATGGGACTGTCTCTTAATATTCCTTTCCAGCTGCTCTGAGAAGGATAATAGCACAGGACATGCCGCTTGGGATAGAGTTAATTTAGTTCCCCTACTCCCAGAAGAACCTTAAAAATGAGTTTAGGCTCTTCCCACATGCTGGGGCATCAGTAAGGAAATGGTTGGCAGTCCCTGCCCAAAACGACAGTTGTTGATGGAAGCCTTTGAAAGACCTGGTTGGCGGCCCACCTCCTGGAAGTCCCAGTGTGACTCCTAGCAAGTCTCTGTCCTGAAAGTAGCTCTTTTCTGGTGAGAGACCAAAGGCGGGGGTGGGGAGGAGGAGAGTGGGGCCCAGGATTATGTTGTGAGAGGGAGTGTGAGGCCAGAAGAGAGGGGGGCCTACATGGCTTCCTCCCACTCATCCTCCCCGTCCTCTAAGGATGGGGCCCAGGATTAGGGAGTGTGAGGCCAGCAGAAGAGAGGGGGGCCTCCATGGCTTCCTCCCACTCATCCTCCCCGTCCTCTAAGGATAAGCTTCTTAGGATATTTGCTGAGAGATGTGATACTCTGCCCTAGTTCTCCTGGGATAGTATAGGGTGAGCCCGAGAAGAGGAAGCGGTGAGGTGCAGACCTTCGTGGACCAGAGCCAGGCCACATGCCCTGGCATAGGTGGGATGCTTTGGGTCTTATAAGACAACCTCGATTTGCATGCGCAATTAGACACAGCCACCAGAGATGATTCTCTCGGCTGTGGAGATCCCTGGGGACAAGCCCACAGAGCCATGCTTGCAGAGCTCCAGATGTCCTGACCGTTTCCTGCAAGTCATCCACCTCCCAGGCAGGTCCCTGAAGGAGAAGGTTCTGGGTTTAGAAATGGCCTAATTTCATCACATTTTGTGAAACCTTTCAGCTGACCCTCTACCTTCTATTCATTCAGTCATTGGTTTACTCAACAAATAATTATTGAGGATCTACCTGCCACTTGCCAGGCCCTGTGAAAGTTCAGGGGGAGGGCTCCTGCCCTCAAAAAAATTATAGCCTGCCTTAGCTGGTTTGGCTCAGTGGATAGAGCATCGGCCTGTGGACTGAAGGGTCCCAGGTTCAATTCCGGTCAAGGGCATGTGCCTGGATTTCGGCCTCGATCCGTGGTGGGGGGTGCGCAAGAGGCAACCAATCAATGATTCTCTCTTATCACTGATGTTTCTCTCTCTCTCCCTCTCCCTTCCTCTTTGAAGTCAATAAAAAAAATATTTTTAAAAAAAGGAATATTATAGCCTAGAAAGGGAACAGACAACAAATAAGTAAACAAATCAACAGGGTAATTACTGATTACTGTAAGAGCCATGACGGACATGAAGAGGATACATGAGATGGAAAGTAGCTGGGAGGGGCTGTTCGATAGGGGAGGACCCCTCTGCAGAGAGCACATTTGAGCGGAGACCTCAAGGACAGGAGTGGCGTGAGAAGAGCTGGAGGAAGAGCGTGCCAGGCAGAGGGAGTTCGAAGATACAGGGGCAGAAACGCCTTGGAGCGTTTAGGAACAGAGAGGCCGAGCCAGAGAGCAGTGAGGAGAGTGATTTGGGGCGAGTTCAGAGAAGAGGCAGGAGCCAGGTCGTCGCCTAGGGCCTTGGAGGCCGAGGTCAGAGTGGGGACTGTATTCTGAGAGCAGTGGGGAGCCAGTGACGGTGTGAAGCAGGAGTGGTGATGTAACTGAAGGTCACTGTGTGCTCATTGCCACGTTGTTTGTAACAGAAGATTGGAAACAAATTCCATCAGCATGGAGCTGGGTAGATAAATTTTGGTTCATTCCAGGGGTTTGCAGCAGTTAAAAACTGTGAGGCTTCCATTTTTCTATTAGGAAAAAAACAAACAAACTGTGAGGCCTATCCATTCATACTGCTTTAGAAGGATTTGCAAGGTACCCCAAATGGGGGAAATCCCAAGAAACAGAATAGAGTACAATGTGCTGCCAATGTATTTTTCAAAGAGGAGATGTATATGGATATAGGGGTGGCTGTAATGTTACACCACATTAAGGATACGTAAGAACCTGGTGAGGGGTTTCTTCTGGGGAGGGGAACTGAGGCACAAGGTGACTAGGAGACTTACTCTTCGTAGTATATACTTTTGTGTGTTTGAATATCTTACTAGGTATCTGTATTACTTATTCAGCAAAAGAATAAATTGTGGCCCTGGCCAGTGTGGCTCAGTTGGTTCAGCATCCCATGCACAGAGAAGTGGCTGGTTTGATTCCCAGTCAGAGCACATGTCCAAGTTGTGGGCTTGATCCCCAGTAGGGGCTGTGCAGGAGGCAGAGATTGATGTTTCTCTCTCCCTTCCTCTCTCTCTAAAATTAAGCACAGACCTCACCAGTTTTTTCAGTGGATAGAGCATGGGCCTGTGGATGGAAGGGTCCCAGGTTTGATTCCGGTCAAGGTCATGTAACTCAGTTGCAGGCTACATCCTGGCCCTGGTTGGGGTATATGCAGGAGGCAACCAATCCATGTGTGTCTCTCTCACATCGATGTTCCTCTCTGTGTGTCTTTCCCCCTCCCTTCCACTCTCTCTAAAAATCAATGGAAAATATCCTCGGGTGAGGATAAATAAATAAATTCAATAAAAAAAAACACATATTTTTAAAAGACTAAAATGTGGTCAGCCTGTTCACTGTGTGGAGAGGGTGTGAGAGCAGAAGCAGAGAACTGGTTAGAAGACTCTGGCTGTGACCTAGCTGAGAGATGGTGGTGAACTTCACGTATGAGGTTGGTAATGGGATGGAGAGAATACACTTTAGAGGCAGAGCCAGCTGCTCTAGGTGCATTCCACACTGACATGCCCTAGAAAGCTTCGTGCATTAGAGATCAGAACCAGGCTCCCCTAACTCCCGGACTTCTTATGGACAGGCGCCCGCCCCTATCCTCACACAGCTGTTAAAAATGATTTTTAATGACCATCAGCACAAAGTCCCCTGAAGAAGCCCTCTAGTTTCTCAATGGAGCTTTCTTTCCTTGCAGAGAGATGCCAAAGGCCAGTACCTATTTGACCTTCTTTGCCACCACCTGAACCTACTTGAAAAAGACTATTTTGGGATCCGCTTTGTGGACCCAGATAAGCAGCGGGTAAGTCACAATTCAAAGCACAAATGGAGGAGAGGGTTGGTCAATAAGCCTGATGCTTTGAGCTGCCACTCATCTTCAGAGTTTAGGAGTCAGGGACCAACCAGACCCTACAGGTAAGTGTCATCTCTTCAGATCATATTGTGAGAGCCTGGCTGGTGTGCTTGGTGCTTGAGTGTCGACCTATGAACCAGGAGGTCACAGTTGGATTCACCAGTCAGGGCACATGCGGGCTCGATCCTTGATGGGGGACGGGCAAGAGGCAGCCGATCAATGATTCTCTCTGGTCATTGATGTTTCTATCTCTCTCTCCCTTCCTCTCTGAAATCAACAAGAATATTTTTTTAATCATATACTGAGACCTGGAGACACCATAGCAGAACTCACCTAGTTGCTCACCATTTTACAGAGGCTGAAATGGCAGCCTGGAGAGCTGAAGTGATTTGCCCAAAGCTGCCCAGTTGGAGATAGAGCTAGAGCTGTGGTGTCAGGGCCCAGGTCACAGGCTGAAGCCCTCCTGCCCCCTTTCTAGTACATGGGCCTCACCTGAGGTGCCACACCACCCCAATCTGAGCATGACAAAGAGCCAAATTGGCACGGGCCTTTCAGGGCCTTGCAAGTCTTGCAGTTCTTGTTCTTCTCTATGCTGTGTGGTCGGCTCTGCAGACACAGGGCACTGCCAAGGCCTGTGATACCCCTGACAGGTAGAACAACCAGTCCGCTATCCCAGCAGCTGCTCACCTCTCCAGCTTCACCTCCGACCTTCCTCCTCCCTGCTATGGCCCTGCCAGACTGCTCTGTGGCTCCCCACATCATCCTTGTCTTTTCCCAGAGCCTTCACCTATGCAGTCCCCTTGCCTGAATAGTTCTTCTCACTTCTCCATGGTCTACACTTTTCTTCTGGCTCATGGCCTTCTCACACATAAGGTCTTAGCCTAGACCAGTGGTCGGCAAACTTGCGGATCGGCAAACCGTAGCTCGCGAGCCACATGCGGCTCTTTGGCCCCTTGAGTGGGCAGTATTTTGTGGAAGACCCACACTCAAGGGGCCAAAGAGCCGCATGTGGCTCGCGAGCTACGGTTTGCCGATCCGCAAGTTTGCCGACCACTGGTCTAGGCTAAGACCTTATGTGTGAGAAGGCCATGAGCCAGAAGAAAAGTGTAGACCATGGAGAAGTGAGAAGAACTATTCAGGCAAGGGGACTGCATAGGTGAAGGCTCTGGGAAAAGACAAGGATGATGTGGGGAGCCACAGAGCAGTCTGGCAGGGCCATAGCAGGGAGGAGGAAGGTCGGAGGTGAAGCTGGAGAGGTGAGCAGCTGCTGGGATAGCGGACTGGTTGTTCTACCTGTCAGGGGTATCACAGGCCTTGGCAGTGCCCTGTGTCTGCAGAGCCGACCACACAGCATAGAGAAGAATTAAAAAAAAAAGAATCTTATTGTATGTTTTCAAAATAAAAAAAAAAAATCAATGGAAAATATCCTCGGGTGAGGATAAATAAATAAATTCAATAAAAAAAAACACATATTTTTAAAAGACTAAAATGTGGTCAGCCTGTTCACTGTGTGGAGAGGGTGTGAGAGCAGAAGCAGAGAACTGGTTAGAAGACTCTGGCTGTGACCTAGCTGAGAGATGGTGGTGAACTTCACGTATGAGGTTGGTAATGGGATGGAGAGAATACACTTTAGAGGCAGAGCCAGCTGCTCTAGGTGCACCAGCTGTTTTCAACTTTTTTCATCCCATGGCACACAGAAACTAATTACTAAAATTCTGCAGTGCACAAAAATATATATATACATTTTTTTGCCCATCTGACAAACAAACCAACCAGGTATGATTTTGATTCATTCACACTGTCATTTTTTTATTTGCCAATCTAAGGAAGAGAGGTCAGTGCCCCTGACTAAGTAGTCGGGTATCGCATGTTGCAGAACTCAGTGCCACACACCAGTTGCAAATTGCTGCTCTGAGCCTTGTGTCTCCAGGTCCCATTTAGGGTGTTAGGGCTAAACACCTGAGCTTTAGGAGGGACTCAGAAGGACTGCGTCCCTTTACTCTGACAAGCCCCGCCCCACTTTGCTGACAGCTTTTGTTCCTCCTGGCTCAGCAGAATGTTGAGCATCATCAGTGTTTGGAAGGTCCTGTGAGGTCAGTCCCTCACCTGTCAAGGCTCCACTGCCTTGACATAACTACTGCCTGGACCACAGTATGAGGCTCCAGGAGGGGCCAGGCACTGAGCAGCTGTGTGTCCTCGCACACTGTCGGTGCCCATTCGCTGTGTGATAACGGACTGTTTTTACACCGGGGTCCTTTGTTGTTGATTTTTGGATTCTGTTGGTTTGAGCTGCCTCTCCTTGAGAAGGAAGGCCAGTTACCTAAGGTCTGTCTCTTCTTGTCCCAAAGAGGGTAGCACAGGAGGAAAAAAGGGCACAGTGTCCTGTTCATTATTTTTAAGTTAGGTCAGAATGTGCCTGAGGAGAATAAGAGTGTATGTGAAGTGATGAGGATTAAGAGCAGGAGACAGATAAAGGTAAGGAAGTGGGGGAAAGAGAAATAAACGCTTATGGAGTGGCTGCAGTGGGTTGGGCTCTGCACTGAGCACAGAGCTACATCCTTCAGCTGATGGGTATTGAGCACTGAGTTGTATCGGGCACTGAGCTATGGGCTTCACATATGCTGTTTAATTCTTGCCACAAATGAGATGAGTGTCCACAATTATATTATCCATCTCCAGATTAGTAAATAAAGTCTCAGGCAGGTTAAGTAACTTGCCTGCGGCAGGTGGCAAAGCCTGTCTCCACCTCAGACCTGTGCGACCCAGAGCCTGTGTGGTTCCTAAAGCTCCATGTTGAGTTCATACCTGAGAGCCTCCAAATTGTGATGATCCTTTGCCTTTAGTGAGGGGTAAGGAGAGCAGGGAGGCTGGGAGGGCTCCTGAGAGCTTGTGGAAATGGCCCTGTAAAGAATTGTTGTCCTATGCCCTAACCAGTTTGGCTCAGTGGCTAGAGCATCAGCCTGCGGACTGAAAGGTCCCAGGTTCGATTCCGGTCAAGGGCATGTACCTTGGTTGCAGGCACAACCCCGGTGGGAGGTGTGCAGGAGGCAGCTGATCGATGTTTCTCTCTCATCGATGTTTCTGCCTCTCTATCCCTCTCCCTTCCTCTCTGCAAAAAATCAATAAAATATTAAAAAAAAAAAAAAGAAGAAGAAGAATTGTCATCCTAGATCCGTGGTCAGCAAACTGTGCCTCTCGAGCCACATGCGGCTTTTTGGCCCCTTGAGTGTGGCTCTTCCACAAAATACCACGTGCGGGTGCATATACAGTGCGATTGAAACTTCGTGGCCCATGCGCAGAAGTCGGTTTTCAGCCTGGGTGAGTCTATTTTGAAGAAGTACTGTTGATATTTGGCTCTGTTGACTAATGAGTTTGCCGACCACTGTCCTAGATCTACTGACTCGTGGATAGAGGAGGTAAGATCCCAGCTCTCTAGAGTGAGGCTGTAAAACACACCTCCTCCCCTGGGGCACCAGGTGGGCTGCACCCAGCGCTCCATCCATCTCCTGCCTGCTGCTCTGCCAGGGTCTCCGTGGGGAGGAGCTGCCCATAGTTACCTTCTTCCTGTTCCTGGCTCAGGCCCAGGGCCTTGGCCTCGGCCTGCTCTCAGCCTCTCCTTTCAAGGTGGAGGGACCCTCTCAAGCCTCTGGAGTCTGAACATTGGCCCATTCACCCAAAGACAAGAGCACACGCCCCTCTCGGAGTCTTCTCATCTCCTGACCCCTCTTCCCCAAACCCATGTTGACAGTTTGCTAGTGATTCTGGGACCCAGACTTAGCCAGACAGATGCAAAAGGTAACTCTGGCCATCACCATATTCTTGGGATCCTTTCAAGATTTTTCTACCAGACCCTTAAAATCTCTTGGGCAAGCTGTGACCCCTTTCCACTCCCTTCCCACTCCACTTGTGATCTCCTCCAACCTCCCTCCTTCCTTCAGCTCTCACCCCTAAAGTCCTCTCGCCAGCTTCTTGCCAAGGGGAATAACCTTTTTGTCCTTCAGCTCCACCTGCCTTCTGCTCATAACGGATCTTACAAGTCATTCCTCTTAGTTTCCAAGTTTCTTTGTTGATTGACTTTCATCTGTCAGGGGACTGTCTAGGGGCATTCTGTTGACTGAGTCCCAGACACTTGCGAGGTCTTCTCCCTGCACAAAGTTCCAGATAGGCCTCCTGCACCTGCACCGGCACAGCCTGGGAGCCCCGTTGTTTCCATACAATTTCATCTCTTGCCTTCGCCTTGCGGTGAAGCCGAGCCGCCGTGGGCCGTGTAATGTGAGAGGACCTCTTAACCACATTGAGTGGCTGTAATGAGTTGCCAGCCTCGTGGGAACTCAGATCAGAGGAAGCAAGAGAGCAGAATGTCAACCCAGATTATCCATGTGGAGCTGACGAGAGAACTGGCTTAGTGGGTCCATTAACTGCATAACCCGTGCCCAGCCCAGAAGGTGAGAGCTGGGAATCGAGGGAGGCCAGGATGCCGTCTGCGTGGCCCTGGCCTCTTTGCTGCAAAGGGAGGACTCTGCCAAGTTGTAACGTTAAATGGAAGTAGCCAGAAAGGAGGGCAGTATCGACCTGGTTCCTTCCAACCTTTGACAGCTGCATCCTGAACACTGTGCTGGGCACGGGCAATCCAGTGTAAACAAGACAGTTTTCTGCCCTCACAGGGCTCATGACTAATGATTTTAAGCTGCTTCCAGATAACCAAACCCAAATGACAGTAGTTGTAGCTCTCTGCAGATTGTCAAGGTTCCTGATTAGTGTAACAGCAACAAACATCAAGAATGCATTTATAAAGCATCCCTGTAGGACTGGGAAACATATACTAGTATAATGGTCTCATTGCTTCATTCCCCAAACATAAGTACCATGGGGAAAAAGGCATTGCTACTATGTCCCGCCTCCATGAAATTCCAGGGGATGCAGGATACGATCCTATACTTCAGTTGTGGTTAGTTATCTTATGAGACAGACTTTGCCAAGGAATCCTGAGCACGCATCTCTCAAACAGGGCTGGGCAATCTGTGTTACTCAGACAAAGATGGAAGACACACCAGCCATCCCTACCTTCTCACCATTTATGAAATTCTGTCAGTACTTTCTAGAGCCCCCTGTCAAAAAACGTTGGCATGTAGCACAAATACATACAACCCATTAAAGCCAGTATTTCCCTACTCAAGCCGAACGGGGCTCAGTCCCCATCACACACACGTATGTTTACTTGTGCCTGCTGATGTGCCAGAAACGTGGATCAGAACCTTGGCACCCTGGTCTAGGAGGTGGCCTTGCCAGACAAGCCCAGAAATGGCATCTGAAGCTGGAACTCCTTCCTCTTCACAGCTGGGTCCCTGGGGAACTTTTCAGAAAATCATACCACTCTTTACTCTCCAAGCCTACATATCACAAGCTTTTGGGCTGCTTTCACCCTGGCTACAATCTGTCTGGTGATTTAAATTGGGTTAAACAAGTTATATTTGACACTGCTTCTCATTAGGGTTTTCTTGTTCTGTGTTCTCACTCTCAGCATTGGTTGGAGTTTACGAAATCTGTGGTGAAGCAGTTGAGATGTAAGTATTCCCCGAGAAAAGACTCAGGCCCTACCCCTGGGGAGGGGGGTGAAACCTCCCACTTGTAGTGAGTCTTGGTAATTTTCCACTGTTCTGAGCATAAGTGGCCCTAAACACCTGAGGATTTTCTTCTGAGGGTTCAGAGGCCCGTGCATCCTGGTGGGGAGGGGAGCTCAGTCTTCTCTGGACCAGAGGGTCTTCCCTGATGGGCACCTGTTTCTCTCTGCAGCCCAGCCTCCGTTCACCATGTGTTTCCGGGTGAAGTTCTACCCTGCAGACCCTGCTGCCCTGAAGGAAGAAATAACCAGGTGAGATGAAACATACCTCCCTCCACCACTAAGACCTGTTGGCGAGGGCAGGAGAGAGGGACTGTCACCTCTCAGATCCTCTGTGCTGGAAGCTCCTAACGCTCATAGGCCAGGCATTCTTCTTAACTAGAACCTTACTTCTGTCTTTCATCCCCGCGTGCTCTCCTTGCTCACCCCCTCAGTCAATTGGAACAGAGGGAGCGTCCTTCTTCGGAAAGTGTGAACACATCATCCTGAGCTGGACCTCCTCAGGGGGCTCTGGAGTAACGAATGAATCAAACGCATATTTTTCTCTTATCTGTGATGCGGCCACCGTGGACATTTTGGAGAGGGCTGTGTTGCTGCTTTTGGGGGGAGATTGAAACAGACTCCAAAGCATGACACTAAAGAACCTGCTGGGAAATAACTGAGGGTTTTAAATCGAAGTGGGTCAGCGCCAGTGTGCTGATGGATCAGGTCCCCGTAAGCTCTTTAGAGAGCGGACGGCTGCAGGGGATGGATTCGATCTCATTCAGCACCTCTCGAGAATGAGGAAGAACCCCTGTGCCCACAGCCATCCTGTGAGAGGGTCAGCGAGTAGGAGCTTCGAAGCTTCCCCTGGGTTCTGTATCTCGGAGCCAAATTCATTCTAAAAGTGTTGCCTCGGAGACTTAGGAACTCTGTGTAACAGGAATCCTTAACTTTTATACTAGAAAGATCTCATGTTGACATGAACAACACCTTGCTGTTTTCTTGTAGCAGGAGGGGCCCAGGTGAAAAGGCCAGGCCAGGGAATCTCAGAGCTGAGGAGGAAACAGCTCCGCCCACACCTGAGAGAAGCAAAGACGGGGAGGAGGCCTTTGCCAGTCGTATAGACTGTCCATCCTTTAAGGCTTTGCGATTTACTTCTGGATCCTGAACTGCTTGAGATAATCCAAAACAAAAGAGGAGGGAAGAAGGGAGAAAGAATATGGAATTATGTTCTCTTCATATTCTAAAGAGCATGCCGCTACCTTTACATCCAGTAAGAGGAGCAGATGTTTATCTGAAAAGGACAGTGTGAAATGGGGAGAGAAGAGAGCAAGAGACAGGAACAAGTAGCACACAGGAAGCAAAGACGTGGGGTGGGAGGGAAGGGGGCTTGGCCGCGGAGGGAGAGGGGTCTTCTGATCAGGTCAGAGGATCGGCACAGCGGGCTGCTCTGGGTGCAGGAGCCTGTACACCCACCCACTTTGACACACGGCGGGCAGGGGGTGTGTAGGTGGAGTCGAACCTCATGTTCCTTCCTGGACACAGGAACTACACGCTCTGCTCATCCACACGGAAGTGGATGTGGCTCCCACTTTGCTTCTAAAAATCAAGCTCATCCATATTAATAAGCAGTCCTGTAGCTTTAGGTAGAACAGTGAGGGGAGAACTACTATGTTTAACAACTTAAACGGAGAGGAGTTTTGGCAAAGCACTAACCTGCCTTGCTCATGATCTCTAGTGCTTGCCTTAGGTCTGAGCACACCCTCTCCTCCCCTCCTCACTTTTCCCCTTCTCTCCCCTCCTCTCCCCTCTCTCTCCCTCTCTCTTTCTGTTGAAAGAGGTGATGATACCAGGACAGATCCAGAAGTCTGCGCTCCTGTCCACATGTCAGAGCAAATTCAACACATCTTTGCTCAGAGCCTAGCCCTGGCCTCCTAACAGCACACGTCAGCTTTGCCTGATCTGTACCTCACTGGCCGAAAGTGGGATGAGGGACTGGTCTGCTATAACCCAGCGAGAGCACCACAGGCACATGGCTTTCTGATTTGATTAAAGGACAAAAATATATGATGAACTTTGCCCTTAGGAGGAGCTCTTAACAACATACTTTTCTAAATCAAATGTCACCGCATAATATTAACATACAGACCCGACTACCCAAGAAGCAGCATAGACCCAGAGCTCAGGTCCTATTTGTCACTTTTTTTGAAAAAATTATTTATTTATTTTATTACATATGTGTTCTTATCCCCCCATTCCTCCCCCACCCACCCCCCACT